CGTGGGGTTAAAAAAGGACGCTTCCACTGGCTGACTAGTGGGCCCGCTGTCGGTGGTCGTCATAAATAAGACGACGGCGCGGTAGTTGGGTGTCCTACAGGTGGGGCCGCGGCGAATGCCGAGGAGACGCGTGGCGCGTCCGCTTCGCGTCCGTGCTGACGCATTTCAAGTGCAATTTTGGGCCAGAAATGGGTCGGCGCAGACGCCAGGCGGACGAGATTTGGGTTTGGGTCGGCACGTTGGGCCGGCGTTTTTGTCCGCGGCGATCCAAACGAACGCCTGCGGATGAAAAGGGTCGCCCCCTTGAAGTTGCTCTAAATGCTCTTATATTAGTTTACAGAGGGGGTACATATTAATCTTACATTCTGGTCACATTCCTTGATTTGTCATGCACCCAGGAGTATGAACAAGCTTGTAATGCTTTCTTGGATGCATAAGATCTGGATCCTGGAAATGCTGAAATTGAGGGTGAACTACGGTAACCTTCTCTCTTTGCCTATCTCTTTTCCATGTCTTCCAAATGCAAGTACAGGTTTAGGCTAGCGAATTACTTTATGGTGACCTGAAGCAGTTGCATACTTGACTATACACGTAGAATGCCATTGCACATGACTCTGAAGAACTTTTTCTTATGCGGCACTTGTGGTTCAGTAACGTGTAGGACTGCCATTAGTGACTATGTCAGCCCTAGAAAGAGGAACAATGTAGCCACTAAGTTGCATATTGAGGGACTATTGTTAGCGCCGATATTTCCATTCAATCGGGCTGAATTTCTTGCAGGAAGGCTAGAGAACTCATGAAGAATCCTTCAGGCGAAGGTGAGCAGTGAGGCGCAGGCGGGCGCAGGCTGGAACATGTTCTACTTTTCACTGAAGTGGAGCTAGCAGGAACTTCTAATCCTTGTGTCTTCATTTGAAGTTCATGCGAAACTGCGGACTGCTACAACGAGACTTTGTATGAAATTTTCTCGTCTTGCCTGTTGATTGTACTTGCCGTATGCAATTACTTTTATTTTGGATGAGTGCTTTTGCATTTTCAATCATTGAGCAAATTGATTGAATGCATAACAAAACATGGACTAGTTCATGATGGCGCACTCTGCTCTCTGTGTGACCCTCGCCACTCCCAGGGACTAACATAGCGTCAGGAGCCGGCACAGTCTGCTATTTGATCTGCTGACCCAAGCCTAGTCCCGCAGCTCAGAAAGAACAGAAAAGGTGGACTCCTCCTCCACCATTTCTTAAAATTAATGTTTATAGGCACTTTAATGGGAGGCTCGGGGTTTATGATTGAAAATGAAGATGAAGGTGTAGAAGCGGCAATATGCTCTGCAAGCGGAGACCTTGGCGTTCATGAAGGCAATTTGCGAACTATGAGACTAGGCTTGTGGCACATCATCACAGACAGATTGCCTAGTGCTTAAACATGTTACAGTGAACAATGCGCATGATTTGGCGACACGTGGATTTATTTTTCAGGAAGTCCAACATTTGCTGAATGTGTACTTTGATTCGGTTTACGTAGGCTGTTGCCCAAGGGCTTGTAATAATGTTGCTCGTGTACTAGCAGATCATGTTGCATGTATGGGTGAGGGAGAATCCAGGCTAAGGTTCTCTGAAATTTATGGGTGAGGGAGTATCCACGCAAAAATCTATGGGTGAGGAGGAATCCAGGCAAAGGTTCTCTGAAATCCCTAACTTTATACGTGCAACCTGTACCCAGCGATCTTGCTGAGCAGACTGCTGTAGTGGAACAATCAAGACTCAAGGTCCTCCATCCCAACAACAACAACAACAAAAGGCGCCACCCCAGCCGCTCCAGTCAGTATCACCAATGCCTCCTTTCAGCCACCTTGAGCCGCAGGCCTAGCCACAGCCGCATCCAGCAGCAAAGGCGATTGGGAGCAACATGGAGAGCAGAGCGCGAATTAATATAATTTTTTTCTAAACGAAAGGGTGCGCCGTTTTAAACTAGCCCATGTTGATGTCGCATTTAATCCATTTGCTCAATAGTTGAAAAAGCAAAAAGTACGCACCCAAAACAACATAAATTGCATACGGCAAGTACAATCCACGGGCAAGACAATATAATTTCATACAAAGTTGTGTTTTAGCAGTCTGCAGCCACGAGTTTTTCCGCGTGAATTTCGTAGCACAACACAAGGATCAGAAGTTCCTGCTATAGCTCTACTTTAGTGAAAGGTGGTGGAACATGTTCCAGCCTGCACACGCCCGCGCCTCACTGCTCACCTTCAGCAGGAGGATTCTTCATGAGTTCCCTAGCCTTCCTGCAAGATTTCAACCAGTTGGAATGGAAATGTCAGCTCTAGCTAACAGTAGTGCCTCAATATGCAACTCAATAGATAACCACATCATTCCTCATAGTAGGTCCAGCCCTACAGGTTACTTAGACACAAGTGGCGCATAAGAAACAAAAAATATTCTTCAGGGGTGTGCATTAATGGCGTTTGACGTGAAATAGTCAAGTATGCAACTGCTTCTCATCACTGTAAACGTACGTTGCCAACCTAAACCGTATCAGCATTTGGAGGCACTCAAAAGAGACGAGCATAAAGGAGTAGGTTACCGTAGTTCACGTTCAATCTCAGCATTCCCAGGATCCAGGTTTTGTGCATCCAAGAGAGCATCACAGGCTTGCTTATACTCCTGGGCGCAGAGCAAATCAAAGATCAGTATCAACTATGGAGTAAGTCATCAGTGGACACACTGGCAAGCTAGAGGCACCTTGAGTAGCATATGAGCTGCAGCTTGAGGGTAGCAAGCTTTTGCCCAATCAGGCCGCAGCATTCTGCACCTGAGAGCATCTGATAAAGCACCTTCACCATCACCCATGAGCAGTTTACAAACACTCCTGTTTGCATACAGTGTTGCACTCTCTCCATGATCTATTGCCTACGGTCAAAAGTTGGTCATCCAAATATTATTCTCAACTTAATACTGCAGATGGAGGTGGAACATATTCTCTAACTAGATTGATTGGCTTGTTCAATTTACGTGTACCTATGTATGATCAGTTTGGGTACAGTTAAACTAACCATTTGATGGCACACCACACACATTAACAGAGGAAGTAGACAAACATATCAAAGATTCACATTAGCCGAGGAGGAAAAGAACTTCTCATGGAATTACTCTCTTTTTTCTAACATGCGCAGATGATGCCAATATAAGTTTCTTAAGTGAAGTCAAATTTGCTTAGTAGTATGCATATTAATCTCTGTCAGTGAAGATCAGTCCCAAAAAATGAGAGTGAAGATCAGTTTCAGTCAGTGACAAACAACGTGAAATCATACATGGTAAATTAATAAGCAATACGTCGTGTGCCAGTCCTACTATTCATTGTCAATTACACTGTTTTTCGACAATCAAAGCACATATTTTACATTAAAAATGGTCAGATATTGTAAGGTTAGATAATAAGAAACCTAGATAGAAAAAATAAATGCTCTCCAACTAGATCCCCGTTAACACACAAAAATTATCTTCTAAACCATCATAGATTAAGTGCAAGAGATTTACCAGACCATAACACTCTGATGCCATCTTATACTCCTTCAGCTTGAATGTTGTATCAGCCTATGACTTGAGCAAACGTTGTCTTCTTTCACGGTGCCGTTGCTCCTAGACAATAAGTAAAATAAACATGAAATGGATATTTGAATTATAGAAGTAATCATCATCTACTATGATAATTTCCATCACAAAAAAGAAAATCAGCAACCTTGTGTTCAACACTCTACATAGCTTAGCATCTAGGTGGCAAGCTCTTTCACATAATTATGCTGCATGCATACGGCAAATGCCACATCAAATGGAGAAATTTGTTGCTGGTCGGAAGCACAGAGTCAAGGTCTTAAAAGGACCCCTATGCAATTATAGGTATAGAAAATGCACCGAAAATGGAGGAACATAAGCCTCTTGTGTCTTCTTCAAAAGAAGTATGCGACTAGTACTAGAGCACCGTTATCCTTTTCTTTACCACTAAATGATGTCGCTAAAGCTAGAACAATGTCTTTCTTTTGTGGGGAAAAGTTAGAACAATGTTACAATCTATGAAAACACCAAGTGGGGGGCCTGCAGCGCAAACTAGATGGCAGGCAATAGGAAACATGGGGACATAAGCAGAGATCAAGGTGTTTTATCTTTCACGAAAATAACCAAGGGGAAAACACTGCGTATGTGCTTGCAAGTGCAACATAATTTTAGAACATGTGTGGTACTTAATTAAAATATATTGTTCATGAGACATTATTACTACTATACTAACAAGTAACAAGTAACACAGCCTGTACATGATGCTGGTGTACTTCACAACCACGCTATGAGATCCATGACTATGAGCAACATTCAATATTCCTGTACCAGACAACACTAACTAATCTACAGTATTTCAAGATTTGCTTCAGCGCTCTGCATAATGGTAAGTTAATGGCAGTTACTTGAACTGGGACTGTCATACAATCTATATGCAACTATCATTTCACAAAGAGTACACCAATTGCCTTATCGTCAGAGTTGATCTTATCAGGTGTAAGGTGTTTGTACTTTTGAACATTGGAAGCAGCAGTACTATTTTCCTTAGTCATTTCTACCAATTATCCAACAGAAAAACAGAATTTGGTTAGCATTTTCTATTCATTACAACCATTACCCTTCCAAATTACGGTTGGTGGTTTATCCTAAGAAAACCCCATAATGTGGTGTTGTCTACATAGTAACCCGAGCTTACAATAATACTGAACGGACAGATTTCAGAACTGAAGAACAAAAGGATGGCTTAGTTTTCAAGCAATATTCAATATGGAAACGACATAAGAACAGAAAATATCAAAATAACATACCATTGGTTTTTTATCTTCATTTTTCACATGGGAAATTACCCCCTCAATACTCCAGTTTTGGACAGTTGGAATTGGCGTAGTCAAAGGAAGCAACATTTCAACCTCTTCCTTGCAATCTCGTAATGCAGCAAGCTCTATTGGTAACCTACCCAACTGGGCAACAAAAGAAAAAAGAAATGTCAGTTATTTCGAATATTTAGGACATCAATAAAAAAGGAAACCATAGCGATAATAACATAAGAACCTGATCAATCATAACTTAGAATCGATGTAAATAATTATAATATTGTCAGAAAGAACCAGGGTCACTGTAATTATCAAATATTTCAACAAGGAGAGAATTCCAACAATTGGGATGAAAAACCACATAATTAAGCTAAAGAGGTGAATTTATTTTAGTTTGTATTGCATGAGTCATTGGAGAAATGCTGCTACCCGGAATGGTACATACTGATATCTCAGTATCTCATCAACTGTTTAGAATACATATATCGCAAAGGAACGTGAACATTCTGTAATGTACTCTCGATGCAGAAAATTTTAACATTGTGGGAAGGAAGCAGGATCTATGTAATATTTTTATCAAATGTTTCGACAAGGATTTACCCGAAAATCATTATAAAATTGCAAGCAATTCAAACTGCCTTGAGACTCAGACACCAGAAGAGTTTTTAGTGAGACCACAAGACTCAGACATCACAAAAGTGCATATTTTTGAAATACCTTGATATTTCTATATAAAAAAGGAATACGTATACTGCTACCTAGGTGGTCTTATATATTCCCATAATGCCGCTACATACTCACAGTTACAGTAGATACTTCCATACTGCCGCTACAAACCAAAAAAGTAGGAATGTTTCTTCAATAGGAAATCAATAATTGATGATCAACAGAAAATAATAAGTCTATTGATATAGACCGTTGAGAATTGGGCTATATCCCAATGGTGGATGTGGAGTGAGGTCACCCTACCACGAGAGTTCGATTCCCGTGAGGTGATATCTAAGTCGCCCACATAGGTCTTTTTTAATGATAAAGACTGTTAGAATGAAAGGTCAACACAACTTTACTAAGCACAAGCGTCAATTTCCCACCTAGTCAACGGCACAAAGCAACCTAAACTCACTGCTAAATGGCTTCTTTGAATAATAGCATCACCAGAAGATTTGATAGTATATAGTGAAATTCTGCATACCGGAACAGCAAAATATACAGAAAATGTACGAAACATACATCATCGGGAATATTAGGATCAGCTCCAGCCTTCAACAGAAACTTAATGAAGTTGGTATAACCTCCTTGCATTGTAGCAAACACCAAAAGTGTCATAGTGGAAGCCTTGCAATTAACATCTGCACCAGCCTGTAAAGAGGATTATGCAATAGAATGTTCACAGTGTTATCTCAATGCACATCAGCATGTAAGCATGGCAGCGATGACATAAAGGTAGAGTAGGGAAAATCAACACATAGGTATGATTAATAATCAAGAGAATACTCATCTTAATGAGTAGCTTCATGCACTTCAATGAACGGTAAATAAGAGCACTCAGCAGGGGAGTAGTGGCACCACTGATAATGATGTTAGGCTGAAAGCAGAGTATTGTGTTTTGTATTAAGAAACACAGGTGGCATGATAAAGTCAAGAGTTCCTAATAAAAAAGCATGTCATCATATAATTTACTGGTGTGTTTGGTGGTTTTTCGAGGGATAAAATGTAAGTGAACAATCCAATCCTAATCCTCACCAAACAAGCTTGTTTGGTTCGAGGATTGAAATGGGTAGCTCCATCAATCAATCACACTTCAAGATCTCTACTGAATTTCATAAACCTAGAAACATCTTTGTAATATCTAAGTATGTGTTACTCCAAGCAATCAAAACACACCCAGGACAAAACATGTTTGCCCACGTCTTCTAACTAGTTGGCAAACTAACAATTATCTGTCCAAATTAACTCTGAATCAACAGAATTAAGAAATAGAGGAGGCTATATATACATTTGCGTGGTGGTCCAGTAAAATCTTCAGTGTCTTATCCTGCTCATTTGTAGCAGCCATGAAGAGTGGTGGTCCACGGCCACAGTCTATGTCAACTGGCACCCCTTTTGAAAGGAGGAACTCTGTTACCTTGCAGCATCCTGTAGTGAACGAGATGATTCCATAAGTCATGTTTTGCCATAACAATGAACAAACCAAGTGTAGTAGAGTAAATAACATCTACTAGTAAAACGACCATCTTGGAGAAATCATGTATGTATGCGCGTATCAAGGGGAGAACCTGCCGAGACAGCATGGTGGAGAATTGTGCGTCCCTTGTCATCTGCTTTCATTAGATCACCACCATGATCAAGGAAATACTTGACAGTGGGAACATCACCAGACTGAGCTGACATCATAAACGGAGTTGCACCTGTAAGAAAAGCACATATCAACACAATCTCGATCGCCTACTGGAAAACATTGGCATGGCAGACACCGATTTAAAAAATGGGGAAAGAAATAGAGAAAGACCTAGAGCTACGCTTCCAATTCCAGGAGCATTCACATCTCCCCCAAGCTCCTCCACCAAATAGTCGTGTCCCATCATCAAAAGATGCAAGATTTACACCCTGATTTGTTAAGATAAAAACACTGCTCCTCTGAATTTTGTTTTAACCGGAATGCTCATCCGGATTTCAGGAGGGAGACTAAGTATGAAATCTTGTAATTACTAGACAATAAAATTGTTTGGTCATCGCTACTAATCCAACGCCGATGTTCCTAAATGGTAAATGCAATAAAACAAGCAATACAAAGCATAGCATCTGACAAATCAAGACACCCGTAGCAACGCAGAAAATAGAATCCGATAAGCATACTATTTTCCGAACAAGCGGTGGCGGATGGTTAGGCGCCTCAGCAATGCAGCATGTCCGAACAACCTCCGACCCCACAGACACAGCACGCGCATGGCATGAGTAGACTTGAACGGAAGAAATGAGGAAAATGCACGGACAGGAGCATGCGAGGGATTGAGGCGGGGAGGAGGAGAAAGTGCTACCTTTGAGGCGGCCGAGGTTGCCGTGGAGTGCCGCCATCAGGAGAGCGTTCTCATCTGCACACACGCGCGCACGCATGATCTCGGTCAGGAATGCAGCCGCAGAGCAAGGCAGAGAGGAAGGGATGATCGCGGGAGCAAACCGAAGGGGGGGAGGGGGGTCGTACCGGTGCGGCCGCCGTCGGAGGGGGCGCAGTAGACGAACGGAGCCGTCGCCATGGCCCAGTCCCGCCGGTCTCGCGCGTGCTCGCGGGGTGGAGGTGGGCGACGCCGGAGAACTCTGCGGTGCGGCGCTGGGGAGCTGGGGTTTTCAGCCTGAGGTGGTGCACTGCGCGTGCTCTTTCCGTGTCTTGCCCCTGCGCGTGCGTAGACCCGGTGCACCCGGAACTGGTCGCTCGGGAGTAAACCCATCTGACTCGGAGTTTTCGGACCCACCCGCAATGACCGCGGGACACACAAGCGCGAGAGAATCATGTCAGTGAGTGGGTTCACGGCGGGTGGAGATCAGGACGTGTCACGCTGGTGCGGCGGGGCGCCCACGTCATAGCGCGCCAATCAGCGGTAGACACGTGTGCGCGAAAAGGCTGCTGCTTCGACCTGCCCCTCCCACGCAGATGGCGGGGACGAACCGTAGGCGCCAGCCAGCTGCTCACGCACCGCTGGGAACCTCGAGCGAATCCCGACCCTTGAATTTTGAAACAACGGCCGTGATCTAGCATTGCAAAAGCACACACGGTGGGGAGCGATGTACAACCGAAAAAATAGGGAGTGATCCAGTGCTACAAGTCACGCACGCTGGGCCGTTGGGGAGTGATGTGCAGCAGAAAAAATGGTGCCGCTCCAACGTCCAGCCTGTTTGACTCACTCAACGTTTGACATGCTGACCTGTTTCTATTGATTTTTCTTTTCACGAGGGTATGGCATTATCAAAGAAAAGAAAACACATCCCTGAATGGGAAACTAGTTCATGCTGTTGCATTCCACACAAACAAGATTAAAAAATATCTCCAAACAAATATATTGAAGAAAAAGCAGAAGGTCATCCGTAGCCTCTAGCAAACATTATATAAAGCTGGACTAAAGAGTTTCGCTTCGACTCTACCCAAATTGGAGTTAAAAAAGAGGTAGTGAACAACACCTTTCCAGCACCCACTCGCAAACTCAATTTAGAGGCCATAGATAACCTTCTTCCTTACCTACAATACCTTTTTTGACAGCTTTTATTACTGAAGCTTGTTAGGGCATAGCCAATGATTAGCCTCAGAGGTGTTGCCCCGCAGAGGAGGCTGTTGCTTAGTTAAGAAAAGGTGTAGGAAAAGGAATGAGAAAGAAGGGATGAGGGAAAATGATGTAGCAAGTTGGGAAGAGAAGAGAAAATTCTGATGGATGAAGAGACCATTGAGGCAACATGTGGGGTTGGGCCGTATTAGCGTCCCCGATGGCCCTAACTCTCCTACATATATGGATGTACGGTAGCAGTATCTTTTGCTGCCTCCATGTATGGTATGTTTCACTTGATTGGAAGCTTCTCCTCTGATTCACTTGTATGACAAAATAGATGGATGACATAATGCACTAGCTAAGGTAAAAGCTGAATGGAATACAAGTTCTGACACATCCAAGTTCAAGTACATTGTGGCAAACTACTCATCCTCTACGACACTCATGGTTGACTTATAGTAGAGGATTGACACACGACCAAGTGTTAAGATATACAAGTACATCATTGCCAAACAAATAAATCTTGAAAACACAAAGTAAGTAGGTGGTTTGTCTTCGGGGCTGATAATAAGCTACATGAGCGCGACTTCAATGACCGCTCGCTTGATAACCTGGGGAAAAAAAAGGAAAGTTATTGCATAACTATGTGAGCACATTCCTCGGTTATGAGGTAGAAGTGTTGCAAAAAAATATCAACAATATTGTACTAGGTGTTACTGAGTTTATAAACGAAATTACAAACTTGGAAATATCATATAATTACTTGCAAATCATGCTAAATTAAAATTATAAATATACAGAAGTTCAACGGGTATCCAATATGGAACATTGTATAAGAACTACATTTTCAAAATTATATGGAGTAGTATTGAGTTGGTTCATACTTTTCAAAAATTTCCAATGAACGAAATTATGCTTTTCGAATATAGGGTTCAATCACGTCGAACATTTCAAGCAATGGATGATGATATGATAAAGGATTGCTATGATTTTGTTCCATATTTTAAATGAACTTTGATATTGTTGCGATTTACAAATCTAAATGGTATTCTACAACAAATTTACAATCAAAATTCAATTTTGAAAGTTCTTCACCTTAAATAAGTGATAAATCAACAAAGGGGCAAATAAATTCATTGCATGATATATTCATATAACTCACCATCTCATAACCAGAAGATTTGAAGAAGCATTGTGTTTCATAAGACCATTCATTCCTTTTTGAGAAAAATATCTACAAGCCTGCGGCACACACTTTAAATTTTTTTTTGAACCGGGCGATAACCCCTTTCCATTACTCATCATAACGGAAATACAACCAGTCTCACATAGTAATCAGGAAGCCTAGAAAGGGGGAAAAACGGGTTCAAAGCATCACTGGGAAACCCACGATGGACACCCATCATCGAGCAGTCCGCCATGGGGCGAAAATCCAGTGACACCATAAACGGCTACAGAGCCCTACAAAGTTCATCAGACCCTCAATACATGCCTCTTATAGGCCGCATCAAAAGCTCACGACACACACTTTAATTAATATAAAGTAATCAATTATAGTAAGCCGTTATGCTTAAGAGTTAAAGTAGACGATTATATCTGCAATCTAAAAATTACGATGATAAAATAATCTTATAAATTACGGGATTTTCTATTTCTGCTTCCATTGATACATTCAGAATTTGGAAAAAAATAGAGTTACGTCAAATTGTTATTTTCACCCTGGATCCCAAATTTCCAAGGTACAACACAATATAAATGACAGTTTTGCATTGATAAACATTGCTTATAAGAGTTGCCAGCAAAGCCACAATGGAAAGAAACAAATTAGCAGAGTACAAAGGTAGAGAAAAGGAATAAAAAGAATCATCAAAGTCTGAGTCCATACGCTCCAAGTGGAAGTGAAAGATGGGATCAGAGGTCTTCCGGGGCAAAAGTTCTACCGCTGGAAAGAGTGTGCGTACCTTGCTCTGATTATTAACAAAACTTGGTGATTCGGAGGAGGTGAACCGGGGAAGTGAGCTTCGGCCATGGCCAATCCCCCTGGCAGCAGCCGCCGCTGTTCCTCCTTGATGGCAGCCGAAGCGGCCGTCCTGAGAAGCGCCTGCGGCCGCTCAAAGGCGTGACCGCAGATCTTCCTCGCCGCAGAACGAAGCGCTGCCGCCATCGGAGTGGATTGTTCCGCTCGCAGGTCTTATTCTCGCCGACGGCTCCTCGATCCTCTTCGTCTTGTTTCCTTTTTGTTTTTGTTTTTTATATCGAGAGAGACTTTCGATTCTCTTCGTTTTTTTAGCATCAGTATAGACACAAGTGCTCATATACACGTGCATACACTCATCCCTATGAACGCACACACACACCCTACTCCTATAAACACCTCCGAGAGACTGAGCCGGCATATCATCTGGAGATTTACGAGCACCAGGATTTAAACCCTGGTGGATTGGGGATATCACTGTCCACCTAACCAACTCAACCACATGTTGATTCCTTTCGATTCTCTTCATGTGTGTGTTTTTTTAGACAATCTTCGTGTGTGGTTTATCCTCTCTGAGGCTCCTATTTTCATTACTGGAACTCGGCCCGCTAGTACGGACGCGTGTCTTTTTGTATCCGCATCCAAAACAAAGGCTGGCCCGATTTCTTTCCAGTACCCAGACAGGCCACAACTAACAGACTGGCCCATTTAGCATGGTAGTCGCTGTTGCTCGCACTGGGCTGTAAGTTCGCTTGATCCGGTTTTTCTTTCTTTCCTTCGTTTTTGTTTTCTTTTTTTGTTGATTTTGTCTTTTCACGATTTTATTTGGGTTTGTTTTTCATTTTACTTTGGGTGTCTCTGTTTTCTCATTGGTTTTTCCCGGCTCTCATTTTCCTCCTTTGTGATATTTGGTTTTTTGCTGTGTGTTGGTGTTGGCTGTGTGCATCTTAGCTATGTAGAGGCCGGGTGTGTGCTCGCTGTGTTTGTATCTACTTGATGCTTCATTTGAGTCAATAAAATTCACCCTTTGTCGAAAAATTTGGTTTTTTTTTCTTGTTTCTTGGTTTTCTTTGGTTGTTTTGATTTTTTTTTGTGTTTTATCATGTTTTTAAAATCATATCTACTTTTTTTCCTAAATATAGAATGTACGTACATTTTGAAAGCACATGTGAAACATTTTTTTATACATGTTGGACATCTTCAAACACATGATGTATATTTTTAAAATATATGTTCCTAAACACTTTTTTGAATAGACGGTAACATTTTTAGAAAATACAAGTTGTACATTTTTTATACATTGTATAAATATTTTTGAAACTTTTTCAATGTTATGAACATTTAATTTTTTTTG